GCAAATGTTTTTTTTTCCCCTTCTCCGTTTTATCTACGTCTTGTCCTATTTTATATATCATGTGGCATGAGTCATAAAACATAAACAAAGAATGAAACAGCAGTTAACTTAAGATGGCGTCACAATTTTTAGCGCGGGTTTATTTATGATAGAAACGATGTAAAAACATTGATATTTTTTCTTTCTTTATTCATAAACATTCCGATTTTCAGCCTATTATTCACGCTGGTATTGTTTATTCCCATGTGGTCTGATTTCATTTCTTCCTGACTGAAATTATCTAATTTATTTTTGGCAGGTCATCTTTCGTTCATTGTTGTTAGGTTGATTTGAAGCCGATCAGCACAGCAGGTACATATTAATCTTTTACTCTATGACACGCATGTCTTTCCCTTTTCGTTCAATAGAGTGTATTTAATAAAATAATAATACATTTCCGTCCCTCGGGTTTCTCAATTCTTTTCTCTCTTCATGTCTTTTATATAATCTCAATAAACAAATATTTACAAAACAAGATTACAGAACAAACTTTCCACACGATTTAATTATATACATGCATAGTCATGTTTTTATTAAAACGTTAAATATATATATATATATATATATATATATATATATATATATATATATATATACAGACACAGACACATCGTTTTTTTTAACAGAGTGTATTACATTTGTCGGTTTGCCGGTGACCACATTAACTATATTAAATTAAATATTGCCACTGTTCATGCTTAAATGCATGAATATTAAGCACTTTAACAGCCAATATAACTTACCTGAAAACTATATTTTATTATATATATATATATATATATATATATATATATATATATATGTATATATATGTTTAGTTAATGAATTTATTTAATAATCCGTATGCATAATTCCAAGGAGGAAAAAATCCAGAGAGCTCAATGTAAAAACAAAGCAAATATTAATTATATTAAGAAGCCTTTAATCGTTCATGGGATTATAATTTATTTCCTGAGGACCGGCATTTATGCTCTAATACATCAGATTTCCATGTTCATTCAAAAATATTGGTGTCTGATTTAACCAGCCTAAACATACACATTTTATTATTTTTAATTTTCTCAAATTAAAAATAATAATATGTATTTTTTTTCTTCAAGTACAACACACATATAAGTTAAACAATTTAAATAATTAAATAATCCGGTTGAAAAACGATTCGCCACATCTTATTATTATTATTATATTTCTCTCTCTCTCTATTTCTCTCTATATATATATCTCGGTAAAGTTGAGTATTAAATTTATTGTATCATTGTATGTGTTCCTATTCATAATAACAATCACAAGTTATTTGTCAAAGTCGTTGAAGTGAATTTGCTCATATATATATATATATACGCCCCGAGCAAGGCGGAAGCCACTAGGATGCAGGGGGTTGCAGATGATTTGGAGCGAGAGCAGATAGGAGTGATAGAAGAAAGGATGAGGAGAGGGATAGTGGATAGATCAAAGTAACTGGAGATGTCGATTGACACTACATTTGAATAGTTGGAGATTATAGCTCTCAGGTAATCAGTAATTGGGAAGGGTGTTCCACAAGCGAGAGGTGCGAGGATTGAAGCTATTGGAGTAGAAGATACGGCTACATTCAAAAGTTTCTGCAGTGAAAGGGTGGGAGCGGGATGCCAGCCTCGTAGGACGCTTGAATTCATGAAGTCTGGGAACACGTGAAAGCAGCTCATCGGAGCAATTACCATGAAAGTATTTGTAAAAATGACACAGAGAGGCGACGGCACATCTGCGAGAGAGCAACTGTAGACGAGATGCCAGATCAGGGCCAATTATATTGCATATCAGCCTCTGGATTTTGTCAAGGACGCCGAGGTAAACAGAGGGTGTACCAGACCATATATGGCAGCAGTACTCCATGAAAAGGCGAATGGTTGATTTGTATATTTGAAGTATCGATTCCGGGAAGAAGAATTTCCTGGCGCGGCACAGAGAGCCAACATTCCTCGCGGTGGACGATGCAATTGACTCAATGCATTTGTTCCATCTCAGGTCATCAGTCAACGTGAGACCGAGCAGACGCAGAGAGTTTCTCTAAAGAAGTTGACTATCAGACATTCTAATGGGGGGGAGGGAAGGATCTCTATGGTAATTAATAGAGAGTAGTTTAGTTTTTGAGGCGTTTAATTTGACCAGCCAATTATTGCCCCAATTAACAACCGATTGGAGGTCTATTTCAAGACGAACGCCCAGGTTAGTTTTGTCAGCGACTCTAGATTTGTTTTTGAGGCAGGAGTAAATTATAATATCGTCCGCGTAGATGCCATCTTGCGAATTTATGGCATCAGGAAGGTATATATATATATATATATATATATATATATATATATATATATATACAATTTATTTATATATATATTATTTATATATGCGCGTTACTTATTAGAAAGTGCTCATTATCCGTGAAAATGCTAACATATTTACTTGGATTGGTGTGAGTTTGTCACCTTGAGTTTCATTCTCTCTGGATGCAGTCCCACACTGTTCACATATGTTTATGTTTGTGTCAGCTCCAATGCGTGAACGTGCGTGTATGTATGTATGTTAAACATGGCACGTGGAACTAGAACAGTCTACCCCAGTGAGCGAAATAAAGGGTTAGGTTCGATATTCCAACTACTTGAAGAAGGCCGGTGCGTACAACGGTCGAAACTTTGTGTTAAATATGGCGACAAAGATGCGGACAATAATCCGAATAATGTAAATAATGTACGTAATTACGAGATTTGTCTGAAAAATCCATAAACTAACCAAGATATCCTCATGGAATGTCCCAATTGCGATTCAAACAATTCTTCCATCTGTTTTTCACTGTTTGGATCGCGTTGGTGAAGAAGCTTACATTTTGTTGGTCAAGTAATTCATCATCAGCAGATATGACGTTATCACCACTGCGATGCTTATCCCTAACTAAGTGATTGATATGGAACAGATGATAATCAGATGGGGCCGCAATCAGAATAATAGGGAGGTCGATCAACCAGTTCAAGACCACATTTAAAAACAGTCTCCATTGAAAATAATAACTCATGGTGGATTATTGTGCAATGTAAGCACGACCAATTTCATGTATTATCCTCGGGGTGTGGTCTTGAAAGCATTTCCTTTCTGCCTGAGCAAGTTAGCATATTACTCTCCGTTTATCACATTACCTGCATATTAAAACACTTTGGCCCTTTTTTGAACAGATGAAGTGTGTCTAATGCATGTGTTTTCTCTTTTTCTCTGAATTCATCTTGGGTTAGTGTTGAAACTTGACTAATGCATGGAATAATAATGCAACACAAAAGGTACTTAGAACAAAATGTATTGAAACAAGAAAGTGTACACAATATTTACATATAGTCTTTTGTATATTCCTGGTAAGACCGTTCCTGGAGAATGTGTTGACTGAGTCGCAGTCGGGCAGAGTCTTTGGTTGAATCTCTTGATTCCTTCCTCTCTTCCCGGTACCAACCATATTTATATGGTCGGTACTCCACTATGCAAATTTGGTGGATCCTACCACAACAGTTAGCAAATATTCAAAGAAACCAGCTGGATCAACCTTAAAGAATATCATATTTCCCCGTAATGTGATCAACCTGATACGTTTTGGATCGGTTGGCAGAAGACATGACACGCAGTGAACAGACAACATTTTTATGCCAAGTTCATTGTAAACACAGTCAATTTTTCCTCGCTAGCGACAATTGCAGGCCGAACAAACGCCTGTCTGTTTTAAAACTCTCCTTTCCCCTCCTATATGCTGCTACACACTTTTGCAATGTTAATAATGTCGGGGGTTATAACCTACTGTAGTAATGGCGATATGGATGACCTTGGGGACTAAACCAATTTTCTTCAATTAACTGATAATACCAGGGTGAAATATTTTGTTCATTTTCAAGAGATGCTGCTACCAGTTACTTTTAAAGACGTCTTTTAACAGTCATATATCAGGTTAACTGGAAGGAAATAACTATTAATAGGATTAATAAAATTTGAAACTATTGCATGCAAGATATCACAGTTCTAGCATCCCCTCATTCATAGTCAGCCTATGAATTATTTCAACCCAATTTTGTATATTTAGAGGAACTATCGAGCTGGTAAAATGTCGCGAGCTCACACACACAACAAATGTAGTCGAGGAACTTTTAAAAAAAGAAAGAAAGGAGTTTAACGTCTTGACGGCGTATGTGACCGTGTTTGTTAACTCTCGTTTTTATCGGTGAATTATAATGACCACTTGGGATTGACGTTGTTTGCCGCTTCTTTCTCCAGAATTAGGAATTCAAACCTCACCTCATAACCAGCGCAAGCCTCTAGCTGTTCTGTCGCAATTTCCATGGAAATTATTTTGGCGTACTACTTTCCTTCGTTCTACCAGTTCTAGCATTCAAGGCTAAGCCCTGTATATGATATGTACATTATAGCAATCCGCTCTTCGGATACAGTTGGTGAGATATAAGTCCCACTCGAATAGCTTCTTTCCACGAACGGCTGGTATTTTGGAAGCGACTTCCAAGAGTACGTTTCCCCGATCAGTAGTCTTAAAGAATTTAAGTCTAGGGTTAACCGTTATCCTCATAAACTCTGCCTATTACGCTGTAACACTCTACCCCGAGTGCCTCACTGTATTTGTACTTTGATCGAAAAGTGATTCATTTATATATCCTAAGGACATTTTTATAACGAAAGAAACAGATTAGGCCGAAATATTTTAAATCGATTCGGCGATTACATATCCGCTACAGACAGCAACCACATACATTCAGGATATTACGTCGTAGGTGTATATACATATTCCTAGCGAATCATAGATAATTCATGTTTTGAAAGTGTTAACAGACAAAAATATTTTCAAAGATTCTACTTTAAATATGTATATAGAAATGTGAAGTCACTATTAAGTTCACATGTACATCAGAAACGAGCCGATTGTGTCCTTTTCTGATCGGAAAACG